ATGATTTGATTGTAAAATCTGAATTTTGTCACTTTCATATCCTCATTTCAACTTTTTAATGTGTAGGTACTCTGCTGAACAGCGAAAGTCAAGTTAGTACATCAAATGCAACAGCACTAAAAGTGGCCATCTCTAGGGGTGTGAAAATAGTAATTGCCACTGGGAAAGTAAGAATTAATAGATCAACTTCCCTTCCACTTTTAACTTTATAAGTTTTCTATAGTTTCTTGTTGGATATGCTGCTTATGTACATATTTCACAAATTTTGTTGGTTACTGTACCATTTGTAGACTCGTCCAGCTGTCATCCGCCTTTTGAAGAAAGTAGATTTGGCTGGAAAAGGCGGAGCCATATCAGAATTTTCTCCAGGCATTTTCCTACAGGTACGTCAATATATTCTTCTTTCATTGGTTTTTGGTATGAGGACCCATAAAAATGTTCTGCCCTAATAACCTATTTTCCAAGGAAATAGTCCTGGTATCATGTAGATCTGAGGCCTTTGGCTCAAGTTCTTTTGTTTGTAGTGTTATTCCATGTGCATACCTTGTCGATTCAGATACTCCCTCCCAATGTAGTACTGGTGTAGCAAAGAGATTCCTTGCCTGGAAGGATGGGCATAGTCATTCATTTGAAGGTGTGCTCTTGCCTAGCATTAATGCCAGCCCAAAATTTACTTTCTATTCTAGTTTCCCTACTACGGTCCTTTCTAGTAGACTTGGCGTTGGGGGATATCAGACTAAGAATGACAGAGGAGAGAAAGGGATGCTAATTTTCAAGGCAGCTTTGACTGAAGGATACTTGGGAGACAGTAGATTTCAGTTTTCCCGAGGATGAAGGATTGGGGTGCGGCTGTAGATATTGATTCACTAGCCTCCCAAACTTGAGGAGAGCAAAGGGACTGGCTACCAAATAGAGGAGTGACCCAAAAGAGGATGATTTTAAAGTTCCTTCTTCAAATATTTCTTAGCTTAGTAGAGCTTGCTGAGTCTTGTTTTAATTCTGTGTGAAGCTATTGAAAAGATGTTAAATGTGCTTGTTTCTTAGTGGGTAAACTCGACCCATATTGAACAGTTTGAAGATGTAGAGAAATTATTGAGAAAAGAAGAATAATATGAATGAGAAGGAGAGAAATTAACTAGAAGAAGAATGAACAAGGACTGAACAAATCTTAAGCGAACCTTGTATTTAATTACTTATACCTGCAAACCCAGTGAAGAGTATGCCATCAATGCCAGGCTTTTTTCTGTTTGCATGCTAGCAACTAAATGATATCGTGAAGATGAGTTCCTGCTTCAATCATGTAATTAAATGAATTCTTTTCTGTCTGTGGTTGATTCAGGGATTGCTTGTATATGGGAGACAGGGCAGGGAAATTTTTCGAAGCAATTTAGATCCAAATGTCTGCAGAGAGGTAAATGTTCTCTTGCTTACTCCTAGGTCCATAATCACATTTTATTTGTATCTCCGCATGATTACTTGCTTCAAGGTTATCCCTGATAATGATAGCCTATTTTTTGCCTTGTTTACGTGCAGATCTATAAAACGAAATATTATTTGTTTTCTAATTCTTTCACTGGTGTGCTATAAATGTGCGCCTTTTCATGGTTTTGAGCATGTAAACTGAGAGATTGATTAACTGTTATTGGGGAGAGCCTATGATGTTCTAAGCAATTCTCTATCTTTCATTCATACTGATAAACGTGTGCCTTCTCTTGCTCGCAGGCATCCATGTATTCTCTTAAGCATCAAATTCCTCTTATTGCATTTAGTGAAGATCGTTGCTTAACATTATTTGAGCACCCTCTTGTAGACTCGCTTCATACAGTATATTCTGAGCCAAAGGTGCCTAAATTGTCAAATTTATTCTCATGTTAATAGTTTCAATCAGTTCATCTCTCAGTTGTTAAATGTGTTCTATCTGTAATCTTTTGACAGGCAGAGATCATACCTACAGTCGACCAGCTTTTGGCGGGTGGGGATATACAGGTAGGTTGTTGAATATGGACAGATTCTTTATCCTTTACTCATAAATATTTGTATAAAGAACTTTGTTACTAATGTTGATCCTTTCTCACTGTGTTTGTCAGAATAAACTGTAGCATTAATCTATGGTCTTCCTTTTTTTTGCACTGGTTTCTCTGAGTATTAGAAGATTTCACGTAAACAAGGATCAAATTTACCTTTGTGCTTAAACTTACATGCTTCAATTCCTTTATGGTTCCTTTGCTGTTCTTCTTTCCCCACATTTGCAATCATGCCAATATCTATCTTGTATAAACAAATCTCCAAGGGTGGTGTAATTATGGATTTAATTGTTGCATATCATTAAATTGATACTTGGTTTCTATTAATGGGATTCTAGTACCAGTTATGTTGCTCGTCTGTTTTATCTATTTATAGTGTGCCATCCTCTTATTTCATTTCTGAAAGTCCAAATTTTCTTTCATTAACATTGCATTACATGTGAACCAAATGCCTTCAATGATGCTTTTAAATTTCAAGTGAAATTTCAAATCATCGGCCTTGTTGGTCAGAGAAATGCATAACTATGTAAAATATTTACCAATAATATTCTTAAATATTCTTAAGTTTGCATGGGTTGACATGAAATTGGATTTTCAGAAACTGATATTCTTAGACTCCGCCGAGGGAGTGGCTACTAGTTTGCGGCCATACTGGGCAGAAGCAACTGGAGATTATGCATCTGTAGTTCAAGCTGTTCCAGATATGCTAGAAATTGTTCCTTCTGGTACGTCAAAGGGAAGAGGAGTAAGATTGCTTCTTGATCATTTGGGTGCTTCCCCAACTGAGGTATTTGCCTAAATGTTCCCTTCCTTTTTTTCATTTTTTTCAATTTCAGTAACCCCTTGTCATCTTGAAGCTACTATAACCTCTACGCAAGAACAAATTAATTGTTAGAGAACTCTTAGAGATCAAATCAAGATCGTACTAAAAGCTAAAAACCCATTCCTATGTATACTTGGCTACAACTGGTCTTGGTGTTTATGCTTTCATCTCCACTAAAAAGTTTCACTGGCTTTCCTTTTCTGGATTGTAACCTTGAAAAAGTGTCTGCACTGACCAAATAATAGGTGAGAGGAATCTAAAAAGGATAAGAATAGTATTTGATTGTTGTATTTCAATTTTGATCCTTCACATCATTCATTCCCAAACAAAAAAAAATAGTAGACTATTATGGTGAGCAAACATTTTTAAGGTTTGATACAAAACAATTGGTGATTACAAAACTATTCTAATCCGTAGTTTTTGTAAAAGTTAAACAAAACCTCTATTTACAAAACTACTTTTTCCACCACCAAATGTAGATTATTAGATTATTGTTCAACTTTTACATGATATTAAAATGTTTCGGATTGGAATAAGTTGAGGATACATTTATTTAAAAAGTTGATTATGGTATGGTTTGAAAGAAAGTCCAGCCTTTTCTTTGGAAGTGGCTGTCCCCCTTTCTGAGCGGGGAAATTGCTGGAACAGAGTCAGAAAGGCCTAATTCCTGGTATAATATGCATTAACCTCCATTGGAGCTGCATAATGTGTGTATCCTGAGAAGTAAGAGACTCTCAAACACTTAGAACTTAGGCTTTTAAATGAGTTTGTTAGCATCCAGTCATCCAAGAGCTCATCTTGCATAGAATGTTACTATTTCTGTTTAGGTAAAACAAATTTATTTGATGGTTCTTTATTGGTAAAAATTCATTAATGTTTTTGCGTTCTATTCTTTTTACTTTCCATCCATTATCAGGTGATGGCGATTGGCGATGGGGAAAATGATGTTGAGATGCTTGAATTGGCTTCTCTGGGTGTTGCTCTTAGTAATGGATCTGAGAAGGCAAAAGCGGTAGCCGATGTGGTTGGCCTGAGCAATGATGAAGATGGTGCAGCGGATGCTATCTACAGATACGCATTTTAAGAGTTACTAAGGTGAACTCTTTTTTTTTTTCTTTTATTAAAGGATGATATCCTTGTGATTTTTGCAATTAGAATAGGAAAGAACTCCACCAATTGATAGGGCGAAGAGTTTTTGAAACCCTTACAGGTTTTATTTTAGTGCCATTTTTTTCTCCCTATTTATTATTAGTGTTAGGGAGTAATTTATTACTTTTAGAAGCCTCGACTCAGAAATATTAAGGACTAGAAAATTGACATCCTTTGTATTTGAATTTTAAAGCAAGACTATGCCAGTGAATAATTGCAAATACTGCCATCACCTAACTAGTGATGGCTGGATGGCACCCTGCTGAGGGATTAAAATGCTAGATAGTTGAATACATTTCTTAAAATTTGTATCTAAGATTTTCAATATATCAGAAAATAGAAAAATTTTCTTCCAAAACTTGATGGTTGAAAGTTGTAGGGTGAAGATATGCCCTCCTTCCCTGAGTGAATTATCGCACTTTCTTTGCTCCAACAAAATGAAAAACAAGTCTAATGACTATTATTATGTCAAATACAATTCTTGTTGGGAGAGAGTTCTTAAAGAAATGATTGACCTCCATGGGATTAATCTTGGAGAGAGCGACAGAAACCTCATCAAATGGATGCGTGTGCCTGTATTTTTTTTTTGTGGGGGGAAAGGGTGGTGGGGGGTGGGGGTAGAGCACTGATGAATGCAGTTATAATTACCACAACCTGATTCATTGAAATGAGCAAGGCTGGTCTTTTGAAGTTTTAGATGTTTTTCTTTTGTAGTTCCTTTCCTTGCTTTCTCCTTTCGAGGCAATTCAAAGGAGATTCAAGCTGGAAAATACCGATTGGTAAAATCCCGTTGGAATCAGTTGTCACGAGCTGTGAATAAAATGCTTTTCTCTTAGAATAAAAGATTTAATTAACGAAGTCACAAGCGTAACATTGATTTTTTTTGAAAAACATACTTATTCTAGACCATCCCTCAGAGAAATTGATTAACAGCATTATTCAAGTTACTGGTCCTCTTGCAATACCCTCCGAAGATGATGCTAAATGGATCAAATCCAGAAAATGGAAAATCAAGAATGACGAAATTGTCCTAGAACCCAAGCAAAAAGCACCTTAGCAAGCGTTTGTAAACAACCAACCAAGGAAGATGTGGAACCACCACCTTGCGCTTAAGTGAAGCATAAAGATAAGGCAGTTCTGATTCGAATTCTACCTAGAAGAGACATCGAAGAAAGATTTAGGTTAGGCATTACACAAAACTTTGGAAAACAACATCCAACTCATATGCAGTAATGCAGGCGGTGGTGGCCATAGCAGGAGATGTACATAATTACTAGATGTTGCAACTACACCAGCAGATCCTCCTTCGCTTTAAGCTGATTTATCGTATTGTGTATTTCTCCTGGCACACTCCAAGATAGTTTTGTCTGCAGTTATAAAGTATGCTGCAATAGAAGCTGCACGAGATTGCGAATCAAGTATGAATTAACATCAACTAATGAGAGTGTTTTCACTTCTTAATCTTCATCAGTGAGCAATGATGGTCAAAAGGGCACAATTCTTATGCAAGTTCAAGTGTTTACTGAAATTATATCAGCAAGTATACTGCAATGATCTTTCCAGGAAGCATTAAAAGATATGTACAGTTGAGAGGACAAAAGTCGTTCTCATTCATCTTTCATGACATATATATGCGCCTTCCAAAGTTTCTGTACCATCAACGAACTTGACACGCAAATCGGAGTTTAGTCTACATACCAGCAGTACTCAGTTGAAAGATGAAAGTAGAGGAAATTTTTAAGGCTGTTGAAGCTTCTAAGAGATGCAGAACATTTATGCATTACATGGGTTTAGAAAAGATTCATACATATATAAGATCCAACCGATTAGTTTAGGAGAATAACAAAAAAGTTGAGCCCCAGATCCACTGTGTGGTTCTTGGAATTTACTGGGTTAACTAAACCAGGAGCAGATTTGACACACAGTGTAATGTAATCAAGTCTTCCCACTTCCTTCAGGAGAAGAATGCATAGCTATTGAATGTTCTAAATCTATATACATTTATGAAAAAATCTGTGGGTTGCTAATTACAAATTAAAGTTTCCCTCAGGTCTAAATTCATGCACTAGGAAGTGGTCTTATTCTTTCTTCTTGATATCTTACTTGAAATGCGCTATTAAATCTCAAAAAAGTCTTGCGTCGTGAAACCTTATTGGCCCTCAAAATGTTTGGTGAAAACGAGAACACGTCAACTCAGTTTACACACTCGAGTAACTAGCAAGTTAAGGAAGCAGCACAGCTTTTACCTTACGAACGCTGTATAAATTTATCATAAGCAACAGAGCAAGGCCCTCATTTTACAACTACATTAAAATGGACATTAAGATGTGTCATCAAATTGAGAAGTCAAGTCCCATGCTTACCGCCAGATATAATGAGTGCCTGGGCAGTATAGTTGAGATTTGCCTTAGCCCAAGGAATTGTTCGAACAGCAGTCAACTGAAATTGTTAGGACCAGTCCAAAGAAAAAAAATTATCAGAGATAAGCACGAGTTTGTACATTTCACCAAAGGCAGGAAATAGGACAAATATGCGGAATCTAATGGAGATCTGACATCTCATAGTTCTGGCCCATCTTCTCATTCATGGGACAAGAATATGTTTGCTAAAGTGCAGAAGATCTGCATGAGCATATATTGGGTATTTCAAGTTTATCCTAACCATCTAGACAGTAGCTCCACCTCCCACCATCTGCATTCTACTTTCAAGGGGCTGAAAGAATAAATATTCGAGTATGTGCTTTAGGGATTAAATTGCACAAGTCGGGAAAATATTAAGCTTAGATCCACGTTCACAGTTGACAGTAAAAAACAATCTCAGTAATTAAACCTCATTATCCTCCAATTTAAAATCCTTAACAACACTGACAAACAAAGGCAGTTTTACATGCTTAGAAAGTTGGAACAAAGCAGACAATTGTAGAGCGATAAACTGCCAGGATTCTCAGGAAAAAAGCCAGGAATCTAACCAGTCCTATGACATATTACCAACAGCCAGACGTGCACTTAGTATTGCATCCCAATACATCCAATCACATATAGTAACACAAATTGCTCCAAAACAAATTCAATACCGTTGGGATAGCACTGGCAACACAAGCAATTGCAGCTGCCTTGGCTCCTGCACGTACACCTTCTGCAAGGAGTGCATAGAAACCATGATTATTTGCTTCTAAGAGCTCTAGAAACATGTCACTTATGCATAGGTACAGAGACATAAAGATCTTGATACTGTGTAAAAATAATCATGCTTTACTAACAACACAAGGAAATCAAGAGAAGTGGAATGCCAATCCCTGGCAAGTTGGAGTCCAAAGCTACACTAACAGGATGTCATCATTCATGGAAAACAAAAGTCATGACAAAAGCTTACTACCCTTTTGCTTGGGAAGTCAAGCAAAGATGTCCAAAATTCATCCTTCTGCTAAACAGCAACAAAAAAAAATTACTGACAAGTTTTCTTTTAAGACTCAGTAGTGTTAAACTATAGAATAGCTTGTGTTGATGCCTTAAAATGAATATACAGCCTAAAAAAATATACAATTGCTAATGTGCCATTTCCATCCCTTAATACTTCTTTTCAGCTTTCTCTTCAAATTCACATAATTCTCCAACCCCAAAATAGTAATAAAGTTCCCATCTTGCTTTCTCTTTTTCCTTTTTCCTCCAAAATACATCAGGAAATCCTCGCAAGAATTTTTTAAATGCCTATGGAATTGTAAGATTCATTAAAGCATCTGGTCACCTGATGAAACTCAGACAAACATCGCAGAATAAACAGGCCCAAAAACAGAACAATGATCAAAATGCAAAACTTAAAACCAACGAAAGTTTCTTTTCTTCATCAGCTTCCCAAAAAGCTAAAAAAAAAACCCAGAAAAAGAAAAGGAAAGGATTCTTTTTTCCTTTTGGATTCCAACCTCGAGTGCACTCCCTTGATCGACGAATCTTCTCTTCTTCAGCTGGAGATGTAATCCACAACGATTCTCTTCTTTTATTCAGCCAGGTATTTCTCATTTCTGATGGAATTCCCATTTTTTTTTATTTTTTGTTTCTCTTTTTAGTTTCTTTCTTTCCACCTACACTGCCTCCTCAAGAATCTGTCGAGCAAAAAGCCGAAATAAATAAAGAGAAAAATGTAATTTTGGTCCCCAATATTTAGTATATATGTAGCTTTAGTCCTAAAAATTTTTGCTAAACATAGATCCAGTTCTCAACATTTAACACTTGTACAGTTTTAGTCCCTGAAATTTTGATAAGAATAAAATTGGTTCTTGATGTATCCAATTTAAAGCAAGGAAAAAAAAAATTTCCAATTCACTCACGGGATTTAGTCTGGTTTAGTGTGTCCATTAATTTGAATTTAAGAATTTAAAAATAAAGAAGCAAACTAGCGGCTAATGCTAAACAACAAAATTAAGACTAATTAACCAATAAAACTAATTGTTAAATAAGAAAATTAAATCCAATCAAAGCGTCCAACTCATCGATCCAAAACTCATTTTCACTGTCTATCTCATCAACCCTAGGTGAAAAACCCTTTTCAAGTGTTATTCTCATTATTTAAAATCAGGCGTTGTTTTGCTTCTTTTTTAAGAAAAAAAATTAATTTGATGAATGCGTAACTAAATTCTATTTATCGAAACTTTTAAGAACTAAAATTGTGAAATTACCAAACATTGTTAAAGATTAAAATAATACATTTGCTAAACATTAGAGATCAAGAGTAGACTTCTCCCATAGGAAATAAAAAGCCCAGATAAACGGTCAAGGGGAAGACAAACTCCAATTTGGCTTTCGTTTTTGGAGTTGAATTGAATAAGTACTTTCTATTTTTGTTCCCAAAGAGAATAACAAAGAAAGAGGAGGATAAGGGCACCGAACCGGATCGCCGCCCGCCATCATGCGGGTGCTTTCTGCTTCTCACGCGCTTTATTATCTGAACATAGAGCAAAGGCGTGATTTGCTGGCCCCGAGATGCCCGAATCATAAAGGCGCTACTGAAAATATATACTGGTAAGAAATTTTGAGTGGCCCGGCCCCCAATAAATAAATAAAGGCGTGGAACGGGAATATGCCAATAATGCAATACTCAAACAATAATTAGTATGTGAAGGTGAATATCTGATTTAAGTCATCCAAGTCAAATAGAATGTCAGAGAACGCGTCAAATATGAAAACCTCAAAAATTAATTCGACCCACTAAATAATATAATAGACTGGTAACCACTAAGTCAAACTCAATAGCCACCAATAAATCCCATTTGGGCGGAAATCCCACTTGGGCGGTAGGTGAAGGTTCAAATCTCATCTGCAGCCAAAAAAATTCAAGAGTGGTGCCAAAGTACTCCTTTGATCTAATAAGATCGGTATACATGCTAGTCCCCAACACAAGAAATTCAAGAGTGGTGCCAAAGTACTCCTTTGATCTAATAAGATCATGTGTAATAAGATCTGTACACATGCTAGTCCCCAACACAAGAAATTCAAGAGTGGTGCCAAAGTACTCCTTTGATCTAATAAGATCTGTATACATGCTAGTCCCCAACACAAGTTTCTTTACGCTCCACCTCCTGTCTAGTTTAGGATAGAATATGTTACATAACAATTTTCGTCTCCGACAAAAAAAAAGAATAATAATAAGCTAGTATATAACTCTTAACCAATCTCTAAGAAATCTGCCAAACTTGAAACTACGTCTTAATCCATGTTTATATGCCCAGATTAAGATTAAGAGATTCCGCATGGAGTGGCCAATCAGCTAGTTTCTATCATTTTATTCATTGAAGCCTGAAAATCAAACGGGTCTTAGTTTATGTGGTAAACAATAATCTGGGCTAACAGGCTAAGATAAGATGTAAAAAATTTCGTCTGAAGCTGCCAATCAGTTTAGTTTTTATTCATGAAGCCTGAAAATCAAAACGGCAACATGTCAAACCCCAACTACAAAACTAGCAGAAAGAGTTATACAGCTTCACAGAGTATTTTGAACCCCACAACAGCTGAATATTGCTCCACATGTCGAATGACGGAGTGATGCAAGGCTGAGAAAAGAACAGGTGATTCCGTCATTCAAGGCTGAGAAAAGAACAGGTGATACATTTTCTTCGCTACTATGGAAATTTCTTCCCTGCCTGTCCTGTTTCTTCTTATAGGGTACCAGCCCTTTTGTCCCAATAAGATGCCGCCAAGAGGATACAAATTACTTTGTCCTAAGTTGCCAATAGGATCCAAAATAGATATCGAAATGCTGAACTAAATTGGGCATTAGCATTTCTATGTTAACACTGGAGGAACTCAAGGAGTGAGAGATCAATTCCATAGCCAAGCACTTCTCAGATAGATGCATCAGAAAAGCAACTGGATTCAATAGAATTACAATGACGAGGACCAGCCTGAATTTGTAAGTCATGGGGAGGCAATTATTCCCGGGGAGGTATAATAATAATACCCCCCAGCAAGAGGAGGACCGTCTTCCTTGTTTTTATCCATCAAAATACAGGACCATTAAAAAAAAAAAAAAAAAATTGCATCTGGCACAGAAAAATGTCACTTGCATGATCCAAGAAGCAATCCGCCGAGCTATAAGTGACACTCTTTGACATAGAAGGCAGACTGCATAGCAATTGGATGGTAATGGAAATCTATTTTAACAAAATCAACTTGCATTCAAAAACCTCAAGCATCTCAATCAAATCATTCCATTAAGTATCACCCATTTAAAAGGGAGGAAACAGCTTATCATAAGCAAAGCGAAGATACAGTGATGGATAATAATAATTGATACAAGAAAAATACTACACCCTTCACTTTTGAGGTTGAAGCACACGCAGACTCGTCCAAGACCTCCATAATGATATAAATAATAGTATTCTGCAACAAATTCCAACTTCAGATTGAATAAGATAGGGAAAATGGAAGGTCAAGATAATTGTAAGGAGAACGAGATGCAAAACAACATTGAAATATGTCCAATGATTGGGGGAAAAAGGTAAAACAAGCAGCATACCAGCAAGCCTAGAAACTCTGATCAATAAGATAATCACCCAGCCTTTCAACAATCATGTTGCACTGACCGGCAGTCATAGGCTCATCATATATACCAATAATCAAAGCCAAGTTGGTCTTCTTAACAGTAATCCCTCCAGGACCCTGAAAATTTTGTCTGAAATATGTCAAGAAATACATAGTATAATGTAAAAAGACACAAAAGGAGGGAGTGGCCAAGACCCCAAAGAGACCATCCAATACCAAAACATTTCATCAGGTTCTGTTCCAACTGCACCCTTGTCTTCTTTCCCTAACTCTTCTGTCTCACTCAATCTCTCTCACCATACCCAAAAATGAACAAAATGTAATATTGAACTTACAGAATTTACTTGTTGAAATGTCGAACAAGCATACAAACATATCTCCACTGAGAAGAGAAATGCATTAAGAGGCCGAAGTTCTATGGAAAATGTCTCTTTCATCACACTCTCTTGCTTCTACTCAGTTTTTCTTTCTTTTTTTTTTTTTAAATAGTACCGCGTAAAATATGGTGCAATTTTTTGAACAAAGACCAATTCTATAGACCTACTGAACTATCGATATCCCAACTTAACAAACTGCAGAATTATGCATTCCAATTTGACGAGAAGCAACTACTTAGTATCGAAACTGGAAGCTTTTCCATGTGAAAAGTTGTACTGGAATAAACAGATGACAACTATCATAAATCAAGACCCACAAGAATATGTAGGGAATAGATACAAATGTAATACTCCAGCAGACTAGAAATATAACGTCCAACCATTACCTTCTTTCCTCTGATAACAGCCCCTGGTTCCCCTTGAATCACCATATACTTTGTGCCACCGAGATACAGTCCAGTTGGAGCAAGGGTCCCAGGTTCAGAAAAATCATTCATAATAGCTGCGATCTCCTCTGGCTTAAACTGTTGAAATACAATCAGAAAGAAGAATCAGTTAAAATAAGTAGGACAGATTCAATTAAACTACAACTACTAAAATGCAATAAGCATGTCATTATACAAATGAACTACACCAAAACACTTGGGAAAATAAAATCAAAATCAACAAAACAAATTAGATGACCAGAGATACATAATTTTACAATAAAACAACAGTGAGCAATTTTCAAGTCGCCATGCCAACGCCTGCATATTTGGTTACCTTCCAATTGCCTTGCACACTGGCTGCCCAACAGTACACAAACCAGAACCATCAACTCGTACACTAACCCAGTTTCATAACAATAAAGTGATCATTGAGATCCTTCTTCTAGCTTCCATGCCAAAGAGACGAGTAAATTGATTCAATAAGATATTTCACCCTTTCTTTTACACTTGAAGTTCACAGGATCAATTATGAACTCCAATGCAATATGAGAAGGAAAAAAAAAAAAAAGCAAGACACATAAAAGAGCATTCTCAGGAGGTCAAGTAAACATTATACAGGGACAATACATCATGCAACATATGAACTATAGTAGCCAATAAAGCCAAATTCGACGATACTTACTCATCCCTCCATCCCATAAAATTTGTCTTCTTGGTTTGGAAGCAACTTTTAAGACAAATTCATCGTAAGTAAACAAGGCATTGAAGTTTAAAGAAGGCTATTATTTAAAATACAGAGCATATTAAATTGAATTTTTCCCAAAGTGAAGAAATCATAGATGTTCCAGAAAGGGACGGCATGATTTTAGTAATGGCACAGAGAATATTAAACTGTACAAGATTAAAATTTATATGAAGTGGTTATGACGTGGAACCTTCATTCCGTGCCCATGTGTACCTCCCGAAGCTACAAAGCCTTGTGCCCGATTAGTTAATGATTCGGTCCTTTTAAAAAAAAAAAGGGCACAAAATCAAATTTGCCAAGAGATTGCCTTCATCAAAATTGGTTTTTGCCCAGCATTCCAACTACTCGTAACAAAAATCAAATAAACTAGCCCCAGTAGAACAAAAAAGGAAGTGTCTTTGCACAAACGCAACATCCCTCGAACCCTAAAACTCCTTCCGAATTTCCACTGATACGGAAATCTTAAGACTTTCATCGAAATGACCAATCATCTGCCAATATCACTTCTCACGAAATCCATAAATCTGCATTTATTATTATTTGTTAAGTCCCAAAGTTAATTAATTTGTTGAACTTGTCGCTTTCTTCCTCAGACTACAAGCACCCAATCTGAGCCCATCTCACAGTCAGAACAAAACCACTAGAACAGCTAATTTAATCATACAAATCATAGGAAATCAGTACATCATCTTCTACTGAAATTACCCTAAATTTAAAAATTCAACAAGGGGGGAGGGGGAATCTGAAATCTGAATTAATATAACTGAACTAAATTACTAAAACCCTAGTAAATCAGTCCACGGCAATAAAATCAAGTAAAAGACACCAACTTTAAATGCATAAACAAAGGGAGTTCAAAGCAAAGCAAATCCAAGGAGAGTTGAACAGAAAAGAAGTGGACCGGAGGGAAATTAGCGCTCTGAGCCCAAACAGTGCCGTCATGGCCGATAATAGCGGCAGATGTGAGATGGGTCCCCTCGATCTCACACATCAAGTGGTCATCAACATACGATTGCCACGACATCTTCTCCTCCTCCTGCTTCCGCTACTCCTGCCGACTAAGGTGTAGACTTTGTTTTAGATTTTTGAGGTTATTTTGCTCTTCCTTCTTTTCTTATCGAGAAATTGAAGAAGCGGTGAGAGGAGACGACCACGGTTGGGGGATTTATGTTTGTTTATTGGGAGATGGAAAAAAAGAGTTAGCGTTGATTTTAAGCTTTTAATGTTTGTAATGATGGCGATGAGTGATGATGATGGTGATGGGTATATGCTATCGTATTTTGGCAGAATTCTGATGCCTTGAATTACCACAATAGTCCCCTCATATTTTAGATACTTACTAATTGCGCCTCACATTTGTATTTTACCAATTTTATCTCTTTTTTTTTTCAAAACAATAAGCGATTTCTAGTGATCACAAAAGCTGTACAGTTGCGAGCAATGGCTCGATCAGACTATACAATCACTGTACTTGCACACTAATAGCTAGTTTGGGAGCATAAGATAGAAAAGAAAAATGAGAAAACATTATGAAAGAAAAAAAGAAGAGAAAATAATGGTAGTGATTTTGATGTTATTTGAGAGTTTAAGAAAATAATGGAATGATTTTGGATATATATGTTATTAAAATTTTGTTTAGTGCTCATCTAAGTATAGAATTTGTATTTTGAAAAAATTTGTAGATTTTCTTCAACATTCTGTCCAAATCAGGTCATAAATGAGCATAAAAGTTTTCTAACTGTAGCAGTACACTGAATTCCTCCAAATCAGACTGAATCCTTTATTTTCTGTTGTGAGTAAACTCACAAATGAGAGAAAAGTATTCCTTCCCCTTACTTTCATTTCTTTTTCTATTAAATCCCATCTCCCAAACTAGCTATTATAGGAAACAAAAGTTCCTCATTTGAGATTCTAAATTTTATCCATAATGGTATGTCTGAAATTCTGAATCCCTAGTTCAAAATTGTCTCTTTCACAAATAGTTGAGCATATATTAGATCAATATTATATAGGAGATAAATGTTGGAGGAGTTTCTCATGCTGATTTTGACACGAAAGATAGAAGTAGAAGTTCATATTTTTGGGTCTATATGAATTGGATATTTTAAAAGGTATTTTTGAAAAACTTTACTATAATTTTGTATATTATAATCTTTCACAACATATGTATTTTTGGGTGTTTTTAAGATTCAAAATTTTGTTAGGGTGTTTTTAAGAATTTTCTTATCCACCTCCCCCCCTTCCTCTCCATTTCTTGTAAGCAAACAATTGAATTTGATCTTTGTCCTAAAAAGATAATCAGCCATCTAAGCCTACCAAAAATGGTACTTTGTGTATGCAAATGTATGTGTGTCTACATACATGTGTGTGTGAAGGATCAAACTATTTCTCTTCAAACATAAAGGGCAAAATACAGATTTTTGAACCATGTTGGGGTTTTTTTTTTTTTGGTGTGGGGGGGGGGGGGGATCTTGTTAGAAATTTCCCTAAGTTTAAAGAATCACCGCAAAATTAGCAAAAGGGGATGTGTAGTGGGGGAGAAAATGAGTTGGTCGTGTCTGAAAATGTATGTGATGTCACGTTGTCATTCACTGTGGACTCCACGTGCCCACTTGAGGGACTACCCTACCTCCTCCTATTTTTATTGAATATTTCAGACTAGTACTTTTCCTCTTGATTTACACTTTCCTTTCCTTTCCTTTTATAGCGGTAATTGGTCCAAAGTGGCACTATTATTAATTTATTATGGTTGAAATGGAGAGCCAATAAAAAAATTATTAATATGGCTTTAATAATTCTTAATTTGGAAAAATTGGAGTGATTACGTAATGATGATAAAAATAGATACTATTATTTTACTCGTTCATAGATTTTATATTTCTTTTATTCGTACTTTATATGGTAAATTTAAAATTTTCAACTTTTGCAACGTCCGATCGAATATTTAAGTACATAAACATGTCTAAATCATTGCCTTAAAATGAATGCTAATTCAATATTTTCATTCTTCCCCCTTTCCTTCCTCTCATACTCCTCCCAAAAAAAAAAAATTCAACGAGAAAGAAAATCAGTCGATCAGAAGAGTAGAGTACTATGGGACTCAGAATAAAAGAACAGACACTCTAGCTGGATATTAAAAAAATACTCTCTCCGTCCCACCTTGATAGTTCTAGTTCCTTTTTCACACAGTTTAAGAAAAAATCGTTAACTTTATTAGAACAATCAATTTAGGTAGCTATTTTCCTAAAATACCCTCACATTAATTAGAGTACAACTTTATGGGAACTTGAATTGATGGTAAAAAAAGAATAAACTCTCATTAAATGGGGTAGGTTTATAGTAACAACAACTTATATTGAATAAGGGTATTTTAGAAAAATTAAAATATAACTACATTCTTCAATTGGAAAGTGGACTACAATTTGGGACAGACGAAAAAGGAAAACATGACTATCAAAGTGGGACGGAGGGAGTATTAGTTAGAGATTTATTCGAGTTGAAAATAAAAAAAAAAAAAATTGTTACTACTATTAGTGAAGAAGCTAAACCAACTGCAGTTGGATCATCTATTGGGCTCTGACCGTACATATTGACGTCATGTGATGATCTACAACGATTGTGCGAACTACAAGCCCTCCTTAAAATGTCCATCCATCACGGCTACTGCCTACTAGGCCCAACACTCAAGTCCACATCCATTGCGTAATGCCTCCAGAATCTCGAGTCTGCTATTATTTGTTCCGCGAACCCAATCACCTGCCCACTTTGTCAGTTAATTCCATATTTGTGTGCTATTATATGACTAAATAAATAAAACCATTGCACATAAAAATGGGAGTAGGAGAGGTATCGTTGGCTTTTGGTCAATTAATGCAATTACTATATTTCTCTCAAAATTTGATGTGTGTTCGTAGACATGGTTACACATACATTCGAATGTAGACATTAATGCCTTTAACTTTTATGCATTAACCCAAAGCTTTTTAAAGTATTTAAATTGTCTTTCTATATAATGAAAACAAGGAGTAATAATATACTTTCTAAAGAAAAAAATTTATATACCCCAATTTTTATATTAATTCAATGGTGGAATTTATTTTCTTGTTTATTTTATTCCAAAATTTATGTTTTCTCTGAAGTTGATTTGGGTATTTCTTTTTTTTTTTTGTGAGTTTTCTACCTTTATTTTGTTGAATTGTTTTTTTATACTAATTTACGTATAATCAAAGAGCGGATTTTAGTTTGAAGAAGTCATTATAATTGCATGTTGAACCTTCAAAACTGCGAACATTTTAATTCTATGGAATTGAAATATATAGATATTATTGTTATTTACATGTTTATTCGTTATTGAAAAATCAGGAACGCTTAATTTGATATTAAATTAAAAAAATTGAATATTTTTAAGTATTCATAAGATGTTTCAAAATATTCTTTTTATACGATGTAAACATTTTATCTCCTTTTCTATTTTGTCAATATATGTTTCTTAAATCCACAAGAAGCATCAAATAAGCTTAATGAATGAGCGTGTTATTGTCTAATGAGTTAAACTACAAGAAGCATCAGATAAACTTAATAAATACGAGCATAATTTTCTATTTCTTTTTTTTTTTGTCAAACGGCAATGTACGAGCATTATTCTCTATTGAGTGCATGAGATGTGGATTTAGCATAGAGGGGCACGAATTTAGCCTCTCCCTACTCCAAAATATATACGTAGAACGTACCACAACCAAGGATACGGATACGGATACAGTCTCGTACTTTCATTTTGTACTTGAATGGAATCATTTTTGGTGGTTTTGGACAATTTCAGCAACAGCTGCCCCAGGGAAGGGTCAAGAGTCCAATCCATCGGGCATCGACCATAGAATGAGGATAATATAATGGTCAACCAAGACTAAGACAAATGTCTTTTTGACAAATGTTTCGAGAACAAACGCTTACCTGCCCCACATCTTTGGGTAATTTCACACGTCCAGACAGAAAAAAGCGCAGTGGCGCCACCTGTTTTTAATACAACCGGCTCAAAGGATTCGCGGTTTCCTGCTAAAGTCGCGTTCCTCTTCCGCCTCTCCTTCCCCACTTGACCTTCTACTTTTCCAGTCAGTTTTGAATAAGAAAATTGAAAAAAAAAAAAACTCAACATAAATTGTCCAACTCACCTTTCATTTTTTGATCATTAAACTGAATCTTATTCCGTCCTAATTAAAACCACTGTCGTTAAAATTTAGTAAAGATAACTAACTAAGTGCTAATTTGCCATCATTAATGAACCCGTGATTCTTGTCTCCCAAGAAGCTTCCACTGATCCATCCCTCTTCTCTTCTCTTCTCTTCTTTCCAGAATATAAACCACTGTCAATAGACTTGTAAAAAAAAAAATTCATTTAATTAACTAAATTAGTCAAAAATCTTATCAGCTCTGTTAAGGCACTACTGAGAGGGATGGGGACTCCGAACAATACCGGCGGCGGCGAAGAGAATGGGGTGATGATGAAGGTTGTCACCGGTCCCGGCGGTTACATTCTCCAAGATGTCCCTCACTTAACCGACTACATCCCCGATCTCCCTGTCTGTATCTTCTTCCTTCCTCTCTTTTTGTATGAAATTGATTTTTCGTGCTTTCGCGCCATGTTATGTAATTATTATACACAAGTGCACGCGGGGACTGGGGAGCGTATTTTTTGAAATATGATGCGGATGATTTGGTTGAAGATGTAATCCTTCTTTGTGGAATAGGTTTTATGTTCGTGTGTTACTATTGGCGAACTTTAGAAATTTCATGTAGTCGATATCAGGAGGTTTTGCTTCTTCTTCTTCTTTTTAATTTATTTTTTTATTTGTTTTAATTACGTCAGAAATCGTATATCCGGTCGTGATGTGATAGTTTCTACTGATTCGCATATCCAAGGATTAAGGTGATTAGGTGCAGGAAATTTTAGTCTGAAGGATTCTTGACACCTTAATTTACAGAAATAATTTTTCGACGTATAAGCAATGATCCAATATAATTTACAGGAAAACGGGTGTAGTTTGTGTCTCCAAATTCTCGTTTTCAACTTGCAAACTTGCAAGTGACAGGAATGCTGTCTTCATGACAAATCAGTTCTTTATTTAAAATTAGCGCAATGTTGTAAAATTTCTTGTTTAAGGAGTTTTTTGGATTACTTGAGGAACGTGGTCTTATCTGGTCGTAATGAGCTATTATTACCTCTTGAATTTTGTACCTCATGGATTAGGGGTTTCGGTTTTCATTCAAATTAAGGAATTAGCTTTTTGAGTTTCCTTCACATTGACAATCGAAATAGCTTGTAATTATATTTCATGCATGGTGAGCTATATTTATTTTCGTGTGTTGGATCTCTTGTAGAACAGCATGAATCTGGTAATATGAGTAACTTATTAGTGGAAACAAGAGAAGAATTTGTTTTGCGAGAGTTTTAACTCTTCACTTGCCTTACCATCTTATTGTTAATAATATCCTTAAAAGTTGTTGAACATAACGCCAAAGGGAACAACAAAACTGCAATTGTTATATGATAGTTGTACTGCACATGTGTGCAAGTCAAATAGGCACTTTTTGAGCTAGTGCTAAGCGTGAATGGTCTATGGAGAGTAACGTTTTTATTTCAGCCAGTAGTCTACAATGCTCCAATGCTCATTCCCATTGCTAGTTCCTTATGAGCACGGTCATAGATTATATGACAATATTCTTGTCATGTCAGTGTAGCACGTTTCTCTTTTCTCTCTATTTGTTTTTTTCTTTTTTAGTATGTGTCCTTATTGGGTTCTTGGTTCCTTGGCAGACTCATCCCAACCCACTGCGGTCAAATCCTGCATATTCAGTTGTGAAGTAAGTCCAGTTAGTTTTTACTTATGCAGAGTGGTAAGTTACCTTTTCTTTGCACCTTAATCAAAAGAAAATGATGCATTTTGTACTTTCAGGCAGTACTTTGTTCACATGGATGACACCGTGCCACAAAAGGTGGGCTCTTAACTCTGCTGGCTGTATTGGGACTTAAATATTGATATTCTTGATTGGTACTTAACTAACCAGAAACCAACTTTTGGGTGTTGGGTTTTTTTTTTTTGGGGGCGGGGGGTTGTGGCATGGAAAGAATTCAGGTGCACGGTTGTCATCCGTGTATTCCATAAAGAATTTAAGAATGCAAAAGTGGACAATTAAAGCTGGATTATATCTTTTTCTTCTGGAGCATAATGGAGTAGCATTCGCTCATTTTTTCCCCTGTATCGTTGTACATGCTCCAACTGATGGATAGATATTGGTATCAGTTTAGCCCAAACCACAATCTTTTTTTCGAACAAAATATCATTGTATGGTTTAACGTTTTCAGCACGCAGCAAGTGATAGTTTAAGTTTGCTTTTCTTTTCTGCTTAGGATAAGGCAATTTGTGTTGATATAACAATCACTAGCATTACATTTGGAACAGGACTAGGTGCAAAGATAGGTTGTCCAAGTCATGCCTCTCTGTTAGAGGTGTTCCAGAAATGTCTGTGATCAAGTAAATAGCTCTATGAAGGAATATCCTTATTATCCCTTCTCATGACACTGATGCTAGACTTATCTAGACAAAGACACTTACTAATATGTCTTCCTCTTCTAATGCCCCTCTTCAGTTCTCTATCATTTGCTCTCTAATGGTCCCTTTTCCAACAATAAGGCTGCTAATATACTTGTTTTAAAAACTGGTAGCAAACTTAAACGGTCATTGTCTCAAACAGTCTATCTGCTACCTTTGGTTCCCATGCTTTGTAAAATGTTCTTCGTGCGCCTCTTTGGGGTGTTGCTACAACAGCAGCAACTGAAACATGTTCTTCTTATTTCACCAAATATAGCATTCTCAAAGCATCTTATATGTATCCCTTTACTTATTATTTACCTATTGCAAATGAAGTTCTTGCATCACATAGCTATTTATCTGTATAAGCTGTAGTTTGAATTGGCATACGGATGTGTAGCTGTAAACCAATATGCAGAAAGAGTGACAGAGATGTGCTACTATTAGATTGATGGAAAGAGTTTGTTGGGAATTGAAATGACTAATCAGTGTGCCTGGTTTGGGATTGTCTTCCTTTAAATTGTCCCTTGGTACTTATTTTGTCATGCCATTGGAGTTGAGGGTACCTCTTTTCTTCTCTATTTGATATGACATGTCTGATCAATGTTTCTTGCACCTTAAGTAACTCCTTTTTTTTTTCTTTTTCTTTTTTTATATATTGCTCTTTATTAGTTGTGAAGGTTGGTATGAAATTTTCTAGCCTTTTTTCCGCATATATTCTTCCTTTGATTAAAACAAAAGAGTGTTGCTGCTACACTTTCATGCTAGCTATTCATATTAGTTAGGCATTTAGAGCCACTGCATGGAATTTTCAACAATATCTTTTGGTTCATATTAATGTATTCACGACCTCTTTTTAGGTTGTTGTCCATAAGGATAGTCCGAGGGGGATACATTTCCGACGTGCTGGACCACGCCAGAAGGTATTGACATTCTTTGAATGTGAATATTGGTTAAAGGTCAATCTATTGTTTACATTCACTAATGCAAACCTTGTTTGTGCTCAGGTATATTTTAAATCAGATGATGTGTCTGCTTGTATTGTGACATGTGGTGGTTTATGCCCGGGGTTAAACACGGTGATCAGGGAAATTGTTCACAGTCTTGATTATATGTATGGTGTCAACAAAGTCCTCGGAATAGATGTAAGTTGAAGGGTTCCTGACTTTGGATTTCACTTCTACTATTTCCACAGTGTTTTTCAAATTGAAAAGCATTGTTTTGAGCACAAACTTCAGTGTATAAACTCAAAAAGAAAAATACTGAGCCTTGAACTTTTTAACAACTTAATTCTGCAAATGAATTTATGCATGAAATGAAATAATATTGAAGCGGCTTTTTGACTTGAAAGTTGCTTTGTTGGATAAGTGATCATGCTCATGTTTACTATTGAGTGAGATACTTACTTAGATTTAGGAATAGTTGTAATTTTAATAATTATATTGAAACTAATTTGCATGGTAAATGCTGAATGGAGGATGCAAATGCTCTTACTGCTTGCTTTCAGTGAGTAATATGCTTAAACTAAACACTTGTAGCTTCCAAGGGTATGGGATTGAGCTATATAGTTGTATAGGACAATGACATCATCGGCTTCCTATTTTTATTGCCAAATGTTTTACAGAAATGAAATTGCAAATTTCCCTTCCGCTAAGCTTAAGCTTTTTTCTTTTAATTTACAAACAATATTATTGGGGCATGATGTGATCCTTTTTTACAGGGAGGCTACAGGGGTTTCTATTCAAAGAATACCATTCGATTAACACCTAAGACTGTGAATGACATACATAAACGTGGGGGGACGATCCTTGGAACATCTCGAGGAGGGCATGATACATCTAAAATTGTTGACAGCATTCAGGACCGTGGAATCAATCAGGTTTGTCAAATTGTGTGGTATAACGTAGTAATTATCTAAAGAGTAAGTTGTGTCACTGTTATCATGACACCGCTTTGGCTCGTAAAAATCCTGGATTGAGTCTGATACTGCAAGCAATTGTCAGGTTTATATAATTGGAGGAGATGGTACTCAGAAAGGAGCTGCTGCAATCTACAAGGTATGCTTGTAACTCTGCAAATGAAAAGACCGTTGCATTATTACTTCTAGTGGAAGAGTGTCCATGATGATTCACTTTCTTTGAAGGGGCTCTTATATGGCCTGCATGAAGGATAATTGGCATGAGATGCATAAGCCTCTTAGTTTCAGAGAGCACTGAGATGCTACTTAGCAATTGGTATTTTGCTATTTTGTGATGTCTCTCCTAATAATCGTTATATGTCATGCAGGAAGTTAGGCGTCGAGGTCTTAAAGTTGCTGTTGCTGGAATTCCGAAAACAATTGATAATGACATTCCGGTATTTGTGGTTTAAAATGATTATGACATGGATGTTTGCTGTTTTCTCATGCAAAAGTGCTTTAGTTTCTCCATTTCTTGGGTGATAATTTGGTTGATAAAGAAAAAAGTCAAAATTCAAGTTACTATATTCTCCTGAGAATGTTACATAGGTTTTCTTGCTGATCTTCCTTGATGATTATTAGAACAGTCAAACTAATTGTTTTTCTTGCTTAATGCTTAAATCAATTCATAAATTCACCGAATTAATTATCTGTCTGCGGAGGAGAATATGGAGAAACTTCAAGCAGCATTATAATCTCAAGCATGCATACTCATAAAACTGGAAGCAATGGATGTTGTCATGTTAAATTATTGTCTCATTGACATATGAAAACCTTTGATCTTTTCTTTTTTAATGACTTATTATCTTGTCTTGTCAGGACGACTTATTATCTTGTCTTGTCAGGTCGTTGACAGGTCATTTGGATTTGATACTGCTGTGGAAGAGGCTCAGCGAGCTATCAATGCTGCTCATGTTGAAGCTGAAAGTGCAGAGAATGGTATTGGTGTAGTGAAGCTAATGGGTCGATACTGTGGTAAGGTTTCTTTAATACCAACTCAACTCCACTTGTAAGATGAGGATATTTACCAGTTATGGGCATCCATCCTCCCTAGTTTTCCTGGATTAGCATGCCTATTTCCTTTTCGCCTTGACTTCTTTCCCTGCACTTTAAAATGGTGCTAAATTGGACCTCTAGCTTGCAAATTAGCTAAAGAAATGTTATTAACTGAATTCGACCAAAATATTAAGTCTGCTTTAAGGCCTGAAGGAAATTCTGTAAAAATAAGGGTTAATGAAGCATTATTTTCGTCTAATTATGATAAATGGTGAAATGAGGTGACATTGCAGCCATGGAATTTTTATGCTGCCCTTCTTTATCAACTTTTTAAATGCTTATCACTGTTTCTCATCCCTCGCTGGATTTGTTTGAGATTCTTGGAATTGTATGTGCAGGATTCATTGCACAGTATGCCACTCTTGCCAGCCGAGATGTCGATTGCTGTTTGATTCCAGAGTCACCCTTCTATCTTGAAGGAAAGGGGGGACTTTTTGAGTTTGTTGAGAAATGTTTGAAGGAAAATGGACACATGGTGATTGTGATTGCTGAAGGAGCAGGACAGGAGCTATTAGCAGAAAGCGGGCATGCCAACGATGAACAGGATGCTTCAGGAAACAAGTTACTCCAAGATGTTGGTTTGTGGATCTCACAAAAAATTAAGGTATCTGTTATGATCTTTGTAGAGGTTTTGTTGAATCATCAGGTTCTTTGCTGGTATTGTTGGTCTGTGGTATCTGATTAGTAATTGCTTCATCCATTACTATAGCTGGTAGGCATCCGTACATGTTTGTTTCCGTTAAAAGTTGGTATTCTTCTAACTGCATTCATTTGTTTTGCTGATGCTATTGAGTAGTAAATCTGCTGACTAAATGCCAAACCTCCTGTTGGTAAAACATGTATATGATTCTGCAAATCTTCTGTGGCAATCCTATCCTCCTTCAGGGAAGAGCCCGAATTGTAGTGACGTATAACAGTGGAAGAACTGCTTAGTTTGGCAACTAATCTTGTCTTTCTTTTTCTAGGATTATTTTGCTAAGCAACGTAAAATGGCTATCACCCTTAAATATATTGGTGAGTAACTTTGTCCTCACATCTGATCAGTTGTGAAGCATTTTAAAGATTGGGAGCTAACAAATAAATTGGCAGATCCAACTTACATGATTCGAGCTATTCCTAGCAATGCATCTGACAATGTGTACTGCACACTCCTTGCTCAAAGTGCTGTACATGGAGCAATGGCAGGATACACAGGCTTCACTAGTGGACTTGTTCATGGTCGGCACACGTATATTCCTTTTAATGTAAGTTCCTCAGTACCATTAAGCATCTTGTTATTATGCTTAGAAGTCTTTGTACCTGTGGCTGCAATTTAAAGATGTTCTTCCTATGACTTTGCATCTACAGTGGGCACTGTACGATACAAATACGCTACTTTTTGAGTATAATCCCTTTCTAAGTCCTCCAAACCAAATTTCTAGAGTATTTGTGGTCTGGCTGAACAATACGAAAAGCTACCTTGCTATGATCTTGTTTTTTCTTGGCTAGTCATTGAATGTGTAATGCAGATGTTGAAGAAAACACTGATTCTTTTAACTGCCTTTCTTATGTGTTGAATAATATGTTTCATGATTCAGCGCATCATTGAGACACAAAACAAGGTTGTGATAACCGACAGAATGTGGGCTCGACTTCTTTCTTCGACCAACCAGCCAAGCTTCTTGGGTCCTAACGCTATTGTTGAAGCCAAAAAAGAGGAACCACCGGAAACCCAGTTATTGGATGATGATGGAGCGAATTCAGGTAATGGTGACACCGGTAATCATAAAATAGAAGCACGTGACACTTGAAAAACTCTCCTCTTTTCCCCAGTTTGCCAATGCAATTGCTCTCCCTGCCACCTTTGCATCTGCTGCCATATTTTGGAGTAATTTCTGATTAATCGGATCGTGTAGGAATCAACATCGATGGTCTCTTAAGATGCCTCCGCTGCAGTTAGTGACTTTGTAATACCCCAAAAGTTTTGTCTAGCGGAGACTGTGTGCCAGTGAAATATGGCAAAACATTCTGTTGCTTTTTGAAGCCTTGATTCTTTGTATGTGTAATCAGCTATCGGAAGGGAAAGTGAGTCCACCTCTGAGTTGCAGCTTGAATAGTCTTTAAGCTTTTAACTCCAAGAGCCCTTTCCCCCTTTCAGAAATAAGTAGAGGTTTTTTAATACACACTCTTCTCTCCGTGCCGATGACATGCTATTGTGATTTGCGAGAGGGAGAGACTCGGGGAAGGTTCCAATACCTTTTTTCCTAGTTTCTATTGTTAAATGCAGCTATAAAAGCCCGGAATATTACAAACAAGTCCCATTAACCTCCTGTATAATTGCTCTCCATGCAAAAGAATAAACAAAAAAGAATGTGGGCAGAGAAATGTTGATTAAGAATTCATACGTACACCTGTAATAGTAATTAGAAAACTTCAATAAAATAAAAAGAAATTTCTTTTGGCAGCAAAAGATTTTCCCAAAATCTTCCCTTTTATCTTCTGTTTTGTCGTCCTGTTAAGAAGGGAAGGCTTGTGGCTTTTGGAATGGTGAACCGTGTTTAGCAATGAGTGGGTTGCATTTAATGGGTATTTGGTCATCAATTGGTGTCCGGGAAAAATCCACTTTTCAACCTCAAACTTTGTGACGAAGATACATTTGGTCCCTAAACTTTTCGTCAGAACACATTGAGTACATGAATTAACGATTTTTTGCCACATTTAGTCAAAAAAAGGGAATTTACTCAATTTGGACGGTGAATACCACGTGGCCGTTAACAAATGTCCAAATATCAATTTATAACCAACACAAGTTAGACACAAGTCCACACTTTACTCTCTCTCTAACCCACTAGCTTTTCTTCTCCAAGTTTCCCCCTTTTCTACTGAGTTAATGAAGTGAAAAGCTGCTTGAGATTAGCAGAGTTAAATGGAGTGATACAACAAAGCTTTTCCAATCCAGTATATTTAATATAAATTAAATGATTCGGAGTAAAATACTCATAAATAGCTATTATTTTGTTCGTGTAATAGAGGAAACCCCTAAAGAGCTGATATGTTATGGGCAATTTCTTTTCTTTTTTTTTTTACTTTCACGTATTTAATTTATATTAAATACAAAACCTACTAGTTTTCCTTTCGTAAAAATATTAGTATATCACTTTTTAAATTTTACTTACAAACATTTATGTATTTAACATAAATTATATGATTCAGAGTAAAATGCCTATAAATAACTAGTAATTTATTCATATAATAGAAGAAACCCGTAAAGAGTTAGTAAAAAGTGCGTAATTTCTTTTTTTACTTTCACGTATTTAATTTATGTTAGATACAAAACCTACTAGTTTTCCTTTCGTAATAATATTAGTGTAACACTTTTTGAATTTCACTTATAAACATTTATGTATTTAATATAAATTAAATGATCCAAAGTAAAATGCTCATAAATAACTAGTACTTTATTTATATAATAGAAGAAACTCGTAAAGAACTGGTATGTTATGGACAATTTTTTTTACTTTCAAATACTTCATTTATATTAAATACAAAACATGCTAGTTTTCCTTTGGTAAAAATATTTGTGTAACGGCTTTTGAATTTTATTTGCAAATATTTATGTATTTAACATAAATTAAATGATTCAGAATAAAATGCCCATAAAAACTTGGTACTTGGTTCATGTAATAGAGAAAAGCCATAAAGAGTTGGTACTTTATGGGATATTTCTTTTTTAAAAAATATTTAATTTCTTTTAAATAGATAACCTACTAGTTTTTTTTTTCATTTTACTTGAATTTTACTTAAAAAAATTTATATATTTATTATAAATTGAATGTTTAAGAGTAAAATGTCCACAAAAAGCTAGTATTTTGAATAGGTAATGCCCGTTAAGTAAGAACTTAAAATAATATCAAAATGGACAACTTGTTCAAGGAATTGTGTAATGTCCACAAAAAACTTACTTGTGTTGGTTATAAATTGATATTTGGACATCTGTTAACAGTCACGTGGTCTTCACCGCTCAAATTGAGTAAATTCCCATTTTTTGACTAAATGTGGCAAAAAATCGTTAATTCATGTACTCGTGTTCTGACGAAAAGTTTGGGGACCAAATGTGTCTTTGTCACAAAGTTTGGGGATGAAAAGTGGATTTTTCCCATTGGTGTCTGGTAGGTCCTGTGCAGGTTCTTCTGGTCACCGCAGCATCTTCTGCAAACTCATCTTCACCATCCCTCTTTTATGCGCAACCTACTGCTGATAATTCTAATTCTGATTGTTCAGCCACCGCTAGGACTAGATTTAGTGATGAGATGACCAGAGAAGCCAGTATGGCTGGCTGAGGATTTTGTACAATCATCCACGCCTGACACCTACTGTAAATGATCCACTGCCTATCTTATCGTAGCCTCTGGTATGGATCAACAGTTCCATCGCAAGCAGCTCCGTTCCAACGTGATGTCCAACCAAATCAATCTGCTCCACCATTCCTTTATCATCCTTATCAAGGAAGCTTCTCGCTGTCCTTTGGTTATCCACTTGGAGAGAGTGCAGGCAGCAGCGGGGTGACAGTAATGGGAACTGGCACAGAGAAAAATGACAACAGGAAAACAACAACAACGCCTTGTACTCCTATTGAAGATTTTACACTCCAAGTGTCCAATCAAGTATCCATAAAAAAGGAACTAAACCGTAGGTCGTGAGTTTGAATTTAACTTAAAAGTGAAAAAAATTTAAAAGACGTGTCGAAATATCTATTTGGTCTAATTAAATTCTTATATCAATTAGCCTCTTATACACAGTCTTTTTAGGCGACTATCCTGTAGATGAGGACATATTGAGTTATAAAAATATTATCGTTATCCTAAAAAAGGATAGATTAAATTATAAAAATATTATCGTTATCTAAAAATAAAAAAAAAAATATCCAACCAAGCAACAGGCCTAATGGTCAGGGAGAATTCCTTTAAAACTCTCCTGTGCACTAGATCGAACATTCAAACCCTATCTAGTGTATCACACAAAAATTAAAACTCTTCAGTGCATTAGATTGAATATTCAAACCCCACGTAGCGCATCACACAAAAAGTACAGTTTATTGAGTATAGTTTATTGATTTAAGTTAAGGAGTGTAGTTTATTGATTTAAGTAAGAGTGTAGTTTATAGGCAAATACACATAACCTATTTAAAGTACCCGCCCTTTACAGATATTTTATTTTCAAATATTTAATTTATGATAAATATATTAACGTTTGTAATTAAAAATTAAAAAGTGTTACAGTAATATTCTCGCAAAAAGAAAATCAGTAGGTTATCTATTTAATATAAATTAAATATTTTTTAAAAAAAGAAATGGCCCATAAAGTATTAATTTTTTATGATTTTCATCCATTACATGAGTAAAGTATTAGCTCTTTATGAGTATTTTATCCTGAATCATTTAATTTATGCTAAATACATAAATATTTATAACTAAAATTGAAAAAGTGTTATATTAATATTTCTACGAAAGAAAAACTGGTAGGTTTTTTATTTAACAAAAATTAAATATTTGAGAGTAAATACAAATCTGTATTTGAGAATAAATATTTGTAATAAAGTAAATGTTTGAAAGTAAAATACCCGTAAAGAGCTGGTACTTTAAATAAGTAATACGTATTTGCCTATAAACTACGCTCCTTAAAATTTATTAATTATTAATTAATTTGTAATACTTTGTCATTCATTGGACATGTAGCACAAAGGGCAAATCAGGTACAAAATTCTAATTTCACTCTCTAAAACAATATTTTAATCATTTGGACTGAATTTGTAAAGGATTAGTAACCTCAGGGGAGGTTAGTGTAATTGTTCAAACCACAGGGGAGGTAAGTGTAAATGTCAGAAACCTCAGGGGAGGTTTCTGAAATTATCCCTATATTATATCCTTACCACTAGATAGGATACCCTAGTTTGGCCACTAAACTTTTTATTTAGGCAAAATGGTCCTTCAACTAATTAGAACATATATTTTATGGCCACAAAGTGTATGTTTTCATTAATTGAGTGGCTAACAGTGAAAGTTCCATTTAGTTGAGTGACCAAAAATACTCTTTTATTTGTTAAATGACTATTTTGGCTAAACAAAAAGTTTTGTACAAGTTTTTGCCATTTGCTCTCAATTTAATCTTATAGCAGGTATTACTTCAAAGTCTCTGGTCATAATATGGTGCCCAGATCTTGATTGCCGTTTGATTCTGTAGCATGAATCTTATGCTACATGGTCGATTGTCTTATGGCTACAGAAGTGACTAGATACTGAAAGCATATATACAGCCTTCTTCACTTGGAAATAGACATTTACTACCGCATGAATGGCAAGTAATGACATTCATGTGTATGCTTAATGGCAAAGTAATGACAAGAAACATACTAAAGAAACCTTTTCAAACTGAGATTCTTCATATACTTGTTTGAACTGATCGGAGTCACTCTATCATTCACTCCATCTTCCATTTTAGAGCATTTGACCATTTTACACATTAGAATTGCAGCTAAAATAATGATAAGAAATGACACGAAACATAAGAAGGAAACCGCCTGAACTGAGACAGTTATACACTTGGACAAATCGGAGTCACTGTAGAATTCACTCCATCTTCCATTTTACAGCAATTGACCATTTTACACATTAGAACTGCAGCTAAAAGAATAATAAGAATACAGTACAGATTTAACCCCTATATATGCCTGACGGTTCTGCGTTTTGTACAATCCAGGGATGCTCAAGCAACTTGTGTAGTGGAAGCCTCTGTGAAGAATCCTTGACAAGCATCTGTTCATACAAATAAGAAAACATCAAATCAGGTAAAACCCTCAACATCTTTTTCGTTGAAGAGCTGGGGTATTCTAGACAACTAGACCTGGCTAATTAGGTCCTTGGCTGATGCTGATACAACAGGTTTTGGAGGGAACTTCAAGTCGACTTGGACTATCCTGTACATGTTAGGAATTTAAGAAAGCATCAGCAATTGAGTCAAAACCTCAAGAGCTCCCTCAATAATTTACATCTATTGCAGGATATTTGTGAAACATGTAAGTAAAGCTGATATCAGCATCAATGACATTGCCATCAAAATTGTAGTGTCTTTCTCAGTTTCTTAAAGAATATAAAGACAACAACCTCCTAAAAGATTAACATCAAATATCCTTTTTTGAAGATCAATTTACCTTCTATAAGTATCAGAATGTTCCTTTGCTTCAAAAGGAGGAACCCCATACAGAAACTCATAGCATAGGACACCAAGGCTCCAGATATCCACATTTGCGTCATGCTCC